ATTTGAGGTCAGCCAGGGCTACACAGAGAAACCCTGTCTCAAAATAAAAATAAATAAATAATACAAAAAACCAAGAGGTTGTGAAAGAGACCTACACTGAATTTGGGATCTTGCTACTCTGAGAATAAACTGTCTTTCTATAGAAAAAAAAAAGCTTTCGCTGTCACTGTCATGAAGCAATTAATACACCTAGAGATAAAATTCAGCCCTCTAAGGTGTCTTGTCATGAGTGCCCAGCCAACCACCTAGCATGAGTTCAGGGCCCAGGGTGTGCCTCAACATGTACCAGAGTGCAGTGATTCAAAAGGAGAATGGCAAGAGTCTGCCTCCAGGAATCCAAGGTCATTTCCATGAAATTATCAACTGAAAAAAATTAAAAGAGGGTATCACAACGTGAACACTGTGCTCAGTGACAAGGACAAGTGTTGGTAAGTCTCAGAGGGGATGAACCTTGTACATTGACAAGAGGAGATGTGATGAGAGGCAGGCAGGAGACAGCAGCAGGGCTCTGCTCTAGGAAGTCTTCATTTCCTGTAAGCCTGCAATTTCTCCACTCCATCCAGCACTCAGAATTATTGTCTTTGGATCCAGAGAAGCACACATTCCACTCCACCAGCTACCTCTGGTTGTCCGTTATGAAACCAGAATCATTTTTAAAGTTGCTAGGGAAAGTGAGCTGAGTACAATATCTCAACACAATGCTCAGTTGCAAGTCCTGGTTGTGACTCTAAGAGCTGAAAATGAAAGATTACTCAATTTGTTCCACAATAATTAAAATTCCATTTTGGTTGAAGGTAGCGGCTAGGTGATTATTTGTTTCCACTGACGGCACTTTCTAGATAACTGACGTTAATATTTTAAATGTTCAGAGTTGTTTCTAATTTTGTAAGTCAGAATATTGAGAGATATACCACACACTTGCACTGTACCCTTAGGTTAGACTATTCAGAGAGTAACTTTAATTTTGAGACAGTGAGATGGATTGGGGGTAAAGGGTCTTGTTGCCAAGTTGACAATGTATATTTAATCTTCAGAACCCACATGGCAGAAGGAGAAAATAAACTCACTCCAGTCCATGTCATGTTATATAATCGTGTTATTTAAAAGCAAATGACTTTGCAATGGAAATGGGGGCCACAAATTTGAAAGAGAACATGAAGAGGCACATGAGAGGATATGAAGGGAGAAAAGGGAAGGGGAAATGATATTATATTGTAATCTTAAAAAATTAAAGCCATAAAATCTTAACCTTCTTTGACAAGGATGCTCATTCAGTAAGAAGAAAACATATTCTGCTGGTCTCCATAAGCTGACCTCTGCTTTGGAGAGGAGTGCAGTTGATATGTTCCACCCTAAGGAAGCCCAGACTACTGTGTCTTTCGGTTTTTACATCAACATTTTATAATTATAGTTTCTTTTTCATCATAACCTATTGACATCCCTGTAGCCATTGTTAGTGTATCTGTCTCTAATATTACTTCAACCTATTGTCCACATTGTTTCTTCAAATCTACTGTTTTTAAAGGGGCACATATAAAAATTTTGCCAAGATACAGAAAGAAGCTTTCAAATTAAAACTTTAAGGTTTGAGTGACATTCATGAGTTTTTAAACTGAAGTTTGGTACATACACTTTCCTTTTACTTCTTGCTTAGAGTTCAGTTTCTCATCTAAGACTAGCTACTGCTCAAGGACCTGAGTAATACTTGCCATGATCATGCTCTTAGGGAAGATAAGTCCCTAGGTAACTCCAGAGAATAGTTACTAACCCAACACTAATCACATTTCCCATGCTATCCATGCATGTGGAACTATTGCTTTACTTCAGAATACATAGCTGTAACAATAAACTCATTTGTGATTGTATAATGGTTGCATCCTCCACTAACCTGCCAACCCCAGGAAAGCAGGGATGACAAGTTGTGCTCACATAACCCCATTCTCTAGCTTAGTAGACACTCAACATTTTATAGTGCCCACTCATTTTGTCATGGATGACTGAAGTAATAACACATGGCATGTTCGAAGCCCAAAATTCTGTTCTCACTGGTGCGGCCTTGCATGATCTTGAATAAATACAAACCCTCTCTAACTCCAAGGTGCTGTATTCAGAAGAGAGACTTCAACATGAGGCTAAGTGTGTTTTTCATTCTCAGGCTTCCATTGGACCCAACCAGGGGAATGCCAGCTGTAAAGGACAAAAGCCCAGTGAAAACTAACAGAGCAGGAGAACCAAGGTTGGGCTGCTTAGCCTCAGAAAAGAGCAAGAATGGCTTCTAGTCCTCAGAAAAATGACTACTTCCAAATTGATATAGTCTTTGGGAAAGAAGTTTCTTATGGAAACTCTCTTTTCCTTCTCTGCATCTTATATGTGAGTTTAATACATACCATGTTTATGAACTAGATCCTGCATTCATCAGACTCTACCTTTTACATTTATATATAGTTTATTTTTTCAGAAATGTGCCTTTTGAATTTGAAAAAATAAATGTGAAAAAGCCCCTCTGCCTGCCATATGTGTTTGACCAAAGCAGCACAGTTCAGTGGAGGCATTGCTCCTTCGAAAGCACAGCATCTCACAGTTCTAGGTTAGCCTTAATATTTGCAAAGCAATGGCAGCTCCAAGAATAGGATTCCCCGAGACAAGAATTACAGGCAGTTGTAAGCCTACCATGTGGGTGCTGGGAATTGAATCTGGATGCTCAGGAGGAGCAGCCAATGTTCCTGACTGCTGAGCAAGCTCTCCAGCCTGTAAATGTGTAGCCCAGGATGTCCTGAAACTCATGCTCCTCCTATTTCTGCCTCATCAGCGTATGCTATATAGTTAGGCACCACCACAACCAGCTGTGTTTTCCAAATCAGTCTTTTTTTCGAGAATGTTTAAGTCATACAAATTAATTTTATAAAAAAAAACTAAGGTTCCAGAAACGGGTAGGAGGAGATGTTTTTATGGCTGAAGAGAGACATTTCAAAAGGGTCTTCAAATCCCACCCACAGATGTAATTATCATCCTTATGTCAGTTCCAGTCCCCTAGAATACCATGAAAAAACAAGTATACAAACCTAGGTCCTGCACACCATTTTATAATCAAAACCATCACCTAAATAGCCTTTTTCCCAGACTCAGGTGCGACAAATGAGGTCACTTTGGGAGCAGAATTTAAAAGAGCACCATAAAACCTGGTAATCAAAATAGTATTTCAATACAACACTTTATGATCAAAAAGCAAAATTCATGAACAAGATATGAAATTTTTAATAAGGAAGGATCTGTATTATTGATTTTTTTCTTTTGCCTTAGGCTCCAATATGATTCAGCTCAACACTTTCTTGCTTCCTTCTGTTCCAAGGCAAGACACCACACATCTGCACAATGGAATATGCAAAGGAGGCCAATTTGTGCTTGCCACATCACTCTGAGCCAGGGAAGCACTGGGGAGGAAGCACCCAGGACCAGACTCAGCAAACAACGCTTCACAGGATAAGGAGGGTTGGTTCCTGCCTCACACTGTTTTCCGTTTCTTGCTATGTCTAGAAATATATAAAGAAAAGATATTTACATAGCTTACAATTCTGTAGGCCCAAAAGCATGGCACCAGCATCTGTGTGGGGCCCCTAAAATGAGGGCTCTATGCTGCGCATGGGCAAAGACAGGAGAGAAACTGGAGCAGGTTCCTACAGAAGAGCTGAATGGACAGAAAAGAAGCAACAGAAAGCCAGTTTACTTTATTAACAAGCCTCCACAGGATAAGCAACTCATCCTTGAGGTAGCTACATTAATCCCTTTGTGAGTGTAAAGTGCCCACAACCTAATTACCCCTAAAAGATCCCAACCACTTTCAACACTGCCATATTAGAGGCTAAGCCTCAAGATCAGTTTGGGTGATGGGAAACCATGTTCAGACCATAACAGCTCCCAAAGGCCAATAAAACGAGGCTCTCACTGGAGCACAGGCTGCCCTCTTCCCCGATACAACTATTATCACTCCACACAGAAATGGCAAAGCCCAGCACGCGGTGTTCACATTTCTCCAAGAACTCACTCCACTTTGCATCAGAGAATCCTGCAGTGTAACAGTGAAATCTCCACTTCTAAACAGCCCTGTAGTAGTAAATAATAATAATAATAATAATAATAATAATAATAATAATAACAGTATTGATCAGTGTCTACCATTCAAGGGCAAATGCTGTGAGACGGAGAGATAAAAGGGTGCAGTAATCTATTTATCTTTGAGCACTGGCAAAATAAATGGTTCCAGAGATGGTTCTGTGCCCTGAGTTTTAGTTATTCCTTAGCTCTTATTCCTTATTTCTTATTCTTATTTCTTATTCTTATTTCTTATTCTTAGGGTCAGTGGGGAAGACTTGCATGCCATCAGGGCTGTGGATCAGAAGGGATGGTAGCAGGTGATTCTGCACTCTCCACTAAGGTAGCAGGGAAAGAAGAAATGATTCCTTAACCAAAGCAAATTTGAGAATTTTTCTAGAATTGAAAGGAATGTGTTTTGAAAATAAACAATGAAGGGAAGGCTATCCCTGATCAGAGAGGCCTCTGAGATTACTGACAAGAAACCAGTTGGGGATGGGGGATGGGCAGAGAAGGGTGAAAAGATAGATGACCTGAACTAATCAGAATCTTCAAAGAGTCCTCGGAGAAATGCCTCGAAACAAAAGGCGAGATTGTAGGGGAGGCTATGTCCTTTTCCTACTGATCTGTGGACTCGGTAATGGAATTATCAGACTCAGTTACTAAGACTGCAGTTCTGATAACCTCTTCACCACCCATAGAGTGTAATAAACAGACGGGGCAACTGTCAATACACTTTAAGGACCGGCATCCAGAGAGACAGGAAGCACCTAGCCCAGAGAGCAATGCTCACATGACCACTAAGTTGAGTGACCACATTCTGGAATGGGGCCTGTGGGCTCCGTGCCCGCCTGCGGTGGTGGTGCTCACCGAGGGCCAAGCCAAATCAAAGGTTTGCAAACGGGACTCTGAGTCAGGGAAGATCCTGGAGGTGGCTGACCCCTGAGCCCACACTCAACGAACCAATGGCCGTGGAGAAGGGGCGGGCCGTCGGGAGTGCTGCAGGGCCGGAGGGTGCCCCAGCCTCAGCGCCGCCGACTGGTTAGCAGCCTAGCCCGGGCCCATGTTGGAGCCTCCCGCAATCCAGAGGTGTGCAGCTGCGCTCGCGGGCGCGCTCCTCCTGCTGCTTTTTCTGCTGCTGGTCCGCCAGCTCCTGAGGCAGAGGCGACCGGCGGGCTTCCCCCCGGGGCCGCCGCGGCTGCCATTCATTGGCAACCTCTGCTCCCTGGCCGTGTCTGCCGAGCTTCCCCACGTCTACATGAGGAAGCAGAGCCGGGTGTATGGCGAGGTAGGCCGCGACGCAGACCCTCTCCCGTCTGAAGCAGCGGCCAGCGGGAATCCCGCCTCGAGGGCCGTGCCCCCGACCGGAAGCCGCCCCACGGCTGTCACCACAGGCGCTCAGGGTCCAGATTCCCCGCCCATGGGCGAGCATGTGCGCATGCGCTGTATGGCCTGTACCCTGTCTGAGATGTCTGCCCCTAAGAGGAACTTCTCGGCCCTGTGGCCCCTGAATTTGAATGAAGACGTTGTGAGTTTCTAAGACAGGGTTAGTGTTAGTGCGGGTTGCCATTTAATTTTTTAATTTTTTTTTTTACGTTTAACACTAAACAGCCCTTAATTTTCTGAACCTTAACTTTTCTTCATCGGGGTACTTAGGATAGTCGTAACCAAAAGCAGTAAAACGCTACCCAAATGCATTGGCTATTATAAATGATTTTGGTTACTATATGTGAAAGCAGCTACCTTTCACGTATAGTATTAGGAGTTGACCATAGAGACTGACATGCTAAGTAAGTGCTCTACCACTGAGACACACACCACTCCAATAGAAATTTATTATGCCTACAAATGTAAAATTATCTTTAAACCAGTTATTTGGAGTGGTTTCTCGTTGAATAGGAAATTAAAGTTTTTATACATAAATATTTGAGCTGAAAGGAATTCTTTATTTACTATGAATAGTCAAAATGACAAGTGATATAGGTCTATTACAGTAAGCTAAAATTAAAATATAAGTGCGTGGAAGACTACCATCAAGGAATAGGTTGATTGGATTAATTGAATTTGGCCTGAATAATTTTGTTTCTGGTACACTGAGAAAACTACATTGTTTACAGTGACAGTTTACATCAATAAAGCTAACCTGTGCTAATAGCTGCTAAACTGCAAGGGGCAAAACTGAAGATGTGTGCACTGCATAGTAAACATTGTACTGTTAGGTTTAATTACCACCAGACATTAACTCTCTTTAAGCTGCTGCTGCATTTGATCTCAACGCTAGCTGTGGGACACCCCTGAAGATCTCCCATTAACTTAGAGATAGTTCTCAATTCTGACAGTGTCAAAATTAGTCTAAGTTTTTAAAATACTAATCATTTTTTGTACAGTAGGAGACTCCTGTACTTCAGAAAGGTTGTAGGAAGTGGTTTATAGGGGTTATTTTTCCACAATCTCCCGTTTACATTTGAGATGTGTAGTCAAATCTGAACTTCCCTGCTTTTGTGCACTGTGAGTTGAGTCTTTTATAATTTTTGAAAGAGAAATAGCAGTGCCCAAGATTCATATTTCTGTCTAAGAAATCCTATATGGAAATGTGCTGCGGCATAAAGTGCCATTTCTGTGGGGAGTCACTCTTATTGTTTCAGCTTCCGCTGTGCTTAGATTCTTAATGTAGATTTTGAGCAGCATTCCATAGCTAGCAAAGTTGATATAAGTAGATTTGTCAGACTCTTTCGGACAATACTCTCACAGGCAATAAAGATGATTATTTTTCATTACAGCAAACAGAACTGGCAGCTTATTAATTTGTTTTATGGAGAACTTTTATTGAGAACTTATTCAAGGCACTGAGTGGGGCTCTGTGGAGAATTTAAAAATGAAAAAAAAATAAGTCATTTTAAAGGTATTTATAATCTGGAAGCCAGAAAGATGAAAATGTTTCAGGTTCAAACTAGTATTAAATTAATGTCATGAAAGATTTTATGTGATCTGTGATGGCTCAAAGCAAAGAGAATAAAAAAAATGTATATATTTTTAAAAACTACATGGGATATAGTCTCTAAAGGTAATATGGCAATCAAGAGGGACATTCCAAATGAGGAAACAGATCAAGCACACCTTTCTAGACCTGGACGGAGGGAGGGCCTTGGATTTCCCACAAGGCAGGGCACCCTGACTTCTCTTCGGTCTGGAAAGCAAGGGGGAGGGGGGGAGGGGGAGGGAAAAGGGAGGATGGGAGGAGGTGGAAATGTTAAATAAATAAATTTTAAAAAATAAAAAAAGTAGAAAATATGGCAGTCACTTACCAGCAGTAGCAGTATGTGCATTTGTTTGCTGTTAGTACTTCGTCAATGATGCTGTAATAATATGCTTAAATATGTTTGCCAAATTCATTAATTCAACATACATGCATCAATTGTCATCATAAGCCATGCACTATCATAGCTTATGTTTACATTTAGTAGTGAACAAGAGATCTCTGTCTCTAGTGGCATACATTCTGTTTGGGGGAAGATGGACAAAATAAATGTATGTAAAGTATATAATATATTAGCGTTTAGGGGCACAACAGAAGCTAAATGGAAATGGACAGTACTGGTGGGTTGAACTGTAAGTTAGTCAGAGCAAGTGTCGTTGCAAGGACATCTTAACAGGAAATGAAGGAGCAGGCTATGAGAACATCTTAGGGAAAAACACACCAAGAACAGGGCAAACACCAAGGACAAGAAGCAGCCTTATGTGATCTATGCTAAGGGTGAATGAAATGCAGGTGGCTTGAACCAGAGTCTAGAGATTGTGAAAGCCAGCTTTGCATTACTGAAACAAAATGTTTGAGATAATAAATTTAGAAAAAGGAAAGATGCATTGTGGGTTGTGTCTTGGATGTTTAAGTCATTAGGTTGACCGCATTGCTTTTGGAACTATGGAGAGGCAGCGATTTACAGTAGGAGTGTGTGGCAGAGGAGACTGTTTCCATCATGTCAGTCAAGAAGCAAAAAGGAGTGAAGAGGAGGGGCAGGATCCTGCTTTCAGGGGTACAGGTCCCTTAAAACTTCTGCCCTTTCCATGTAGCACTAAGCTAAAGACTGCATATTTAACATATAAGCCTTTAAGATACATTTAAGATCTGAAGTGATAAGATGTTTGGTCAACTTCTTTTATAACTTGACAGCAGAAACAACATACATGCCGAACAGTTGACTGTGTGGCTTGGGAGGAAATCTAGTCAACGTGGGTCAGGACTTTGTTAGTCACCTATCTCTCATGCTCAACACCTCACAAAAACAACTTAGAAAGGAAGGATTCATTTGGGTTGTGGTGCAGAAGGTACAGTTTATGACAGCTACTGGGTCAATTTCTGGTGTAAAGAGTTTACAGTGGCTCACCACTTTGTACCAAGTAGGAAGCAGAGACAACGTGGCTGGAATCAGGGCCAGGATGACCCTCACTGCCAAGTCCCAGCAACCCCACTACCTACTGTTAGCCTCTACTTCGTAAAGGCTCTGTTAGCTCTCAGAACTGTTCACAGCTGATAACAGTGTTCAACCACAAGTCTGCGGGGAGACACTTCACATTCAAACAGGAACTGAACACCTTGAAGGATTAAAAAGTGTGGTTTTAACTGATGGAGTAAAATATCTATGTAGAGCTAGTTTGGGTGGAGAAGAAGTTATGTAAAGATGATACAGAAACTGCTAGAAGGCAGGAATGTTTGCTGTATTTCTGTATGCATCTCTGCTAGCACAATTATCTCATAATCGACATTTTAAAACTGTTCAATAAATCAAAGATTGAATAAACCTAATCTTGGACTCTTCCACAGATTAAAACAGTTTAAAAGTAAGTTTTTGTAGTTTGATTGATGAAACTTTGCTAAAAGTTCTCAAGTATAATATACAACTAGATCAAGTAAAATTTCCCCCAGTTCTACTCTCTTAACAGACAACTATCTCAATTTCTTGAGTAAACTATAAAACTATATAATAGCTTTTTTTAAGTGATTAGTCCTCTTTTTTATAATTTCTAGTGACCACAGTCTGAAGATTTTCCTTGAAATATATTCTCCCTCTGTTCTGCCTTCAGACTCACATAGCTTTCAACCCCAAGGTCTTATGTCATTCTGGTAAAATGATGATCTTGTTTTATTTCCTGCATCAGTACCACTTCCTGTAGATTAATGCCATTCCTGTTTAATTTTCACTGACTACATTTCTGGGGGAAGACTTTTCTTTGCCAACACTAATACTGCTTTGGGAACTAGAAAGATCTCTCATTTGCTTATCTGGTAGCAACACCCTTTGTGCTAAAAATTCCTCCATGGCCTAAAACTAACGCCAATGTGTACAAAAATCTATAAATTTTCCACAACATTCTAAATGTACATACTTCTTTGTCCCAGGGCCCACCCTTGTGCCAAAACCTCTGGTGGAACTGATTGTATTCCTTCTTGATAATCTTTATCACTTTTGCTGACTTACTTCTGAAGAACTTTTGTTATCAGCTAAGACCTCCTTTGTTCTTCTGAAGCAGAATTTATCATGATTAAGTCTACCTTTGTTGTTTACACGAAGATAAGGCTTATCTCGGTCTTTTAGCTGTGAGAAACTCTGGGGCAGTTCCTGGGAGGATGCAATCCCTGGGATTTATTGATAAACAGGCTTTTCACTGGGTTAGGCCTTTACATTAGGTTAGCTAAAAGACACTTCAGGACACATGACATTGTAAGTGAACATGAGGTGATCCTATCATATCTTGGCTAGTTTTTATTGTTAAATTGCCTCACTTGAAGAATTGTCTCAATCACTTTGTCCCAGGGCCTCAAAAGAAATTGTCTTATTGATGTTTGGTATTGTAGGGCCCACTTCATTGGGGATAGGGCACAATCCCTAGTGTGATGGCTAAATTTTATGTATGTATGTAAGCTAGAGTCACTGGGGAAGAGGGAACCTTGATTGAGAAAATGCCCCCACCAGATTAAGCTGTGGGCAAGCCTTCTCTAGGCTGGTGGTCGTGAGTGCTACAAGAACGTGGGAAGAACAAGTCAGGAGGACCAGGTCAGTAAATAACTATTCCATGGCCTCTGCATCCGTTCCTGCCTCTAAATTCCTGACTTCCTTGTATTCCTGCTCTGACTTCCTTCATCATGGATTGTGAGGTGGAAGTAGAAGATGGAATAACCCTTTCCTCTCCAAGTTGCTTTTAATCATGGTGTTTATCACAGCAATAGAAACCCAACTAAGAAGCCTGGAAGGTATACTTGGGCTGAATAACAAAGCGAAGAGCTAAAACATAGAACCAGGGATTAAGCCAATAAACAGAGTTCCTCCATGGTTCCTGTCTCCAGATTGCTGCCCGACTTCCATCACTGATGGACTGTGATCTGGAAGTGTAAACTAAAATAAACCCTCTCTTCCCCTGTGTTGTTTTTGGTCATGGTGTTTACCACAGCAAAACAAATCAAACTAGAACATTCGGCAAACAACTCCAGCAAGTTACAGGATTATCCTGTTTTGCTTTCCTCTTAGATGAAAGGTATCTACGTTTGTATACATTGTTGCTGACAGAAGTTTCTGTCTGGCCTGGTCCCTTAGCTGTTCAGTTCCAAAGAAACACACAGAGGCATATATTAATTATAAATTGTTTGGCCAATTACCTCAGGTTTATTATTAATTAGCTCATATAACTTAAATTAACCCATAATTCTTATCTATGTTTAGCCATGTGGCTTGGTACCTTATTAGTGAGGCATTCTCCATCCTGCTTCCTCTGTGTCTTGCTGGTGACTGCAGACTGAGCCTTTCCTCTTCCCAGAATTCTCCTAAACTGATCACCCTGCCTATACTTCCTGCCTGGCTACGGGCCAATCAACATTTTATTAAATCAATACAAATGACAAATCTTTATATTATCCCACAGCACATGGTAAATATATTTCCTCTAAAGTTAGGTTCCCTTAGAATCCTGGTATTTAGAAAGGTAAATACAATTCTCCCCCCCCCCCACACACACACAAACACACACATGCTTGAATTTCAAAGCTGTTTTTTGACTTTTCAATTCCCCTCCCCCACTTCAAGATGATATAATAATAGATTGATGATGCTAGTTATAAATTTGTCTTGGAAATAAAATGAGATTTCTATGTAATAAATATTTGAAGATGGAATGAATTATAATATATCAAAATCAAATACATTTTGTTTTTGTTTTGCCTTGTACCTTAAACCTATTAAATAATGGCAAACCTTAAAGTAGAATACAGGCTTCTCCTGTCCAGTACTTTTTCCATTATACCTTATAAAATGGTTCCAGGCATGGAGTGGTATAATTAATCAAGCTGTCTAGAGATTGTCAACTGACAAATCCTCATGTTTTTAAGGAAGTGGCAAGTAATAAGAGGGATAGGCTTAGAACATGTGGATCATTTTGTTGTTTCACTGTACATTTTGCTATTTGATTGTTGTTTTTCTTCTCGAAGATTTTCAGTTTAGATCTTGGAGGCATATCAACTGTGGTTCTAAATGGCTATGATATAGTGAAGGAATGCCTTGTCCATCAAAGTGAAATTTTTGCAGATAGACCATGCTTTCCTTTGTTCATGAAGATGACAAAAATGGGAGGTATGTTTTTTACAACTGTTCAATGCACCTATTTTTTGAGATCTCTTAAAAAAAAAGCAATCTTTTTCTCATTTTTTCAAACTAATTCCAGTTCCCTCTCCTTCCCCTCCTCCTGCTCCCCACCACCTTCTACCCACTCAACCCCTCATCCATTCCTCAGAGTGGGTAAGGTTTCCCATGGGTAGTCAACAAAGTCTGACACATCACTTTAGTCTGACACCAGTACCCTCCTCCCTATATCTAGGCCGAGCAATGTATCCCTTCAGAGACAAGGGCCTCCAAAAAGCTAGTTCAAGCATTAGGGATAAACAGTGGCCCCACAGATTGCTCCAGCCACACAATTGTCACCCACATTCAGAGTGCTTAGTTTGAGCCTACGCAGGTTTTCCTGCTGTCAGTCCGCAGTCAATGAATTCAGATCGTCTGTTTCTGTGGGTATCCCCATCATGGTCTTGACCCCTTTGTTTATATTATCTCTCCTCCCTCTCTTCAAGTGGACTCTGGGAGCTGAGTCCAGTTCTAGCTATGGATCTCTGCATCTACTTCCATCAGTCAGTGTACCTACTTTAAATCACATTCCTTATTTTAAATAATTTTAGTGTAGACAAATTGTTTTGTACTTAGTGAAACCTGGATTTGAGGAACAATCAGACTGCATTCAATAGTTTTAGGCTACTACATGCTAGTTTTATTGCCAATCAGTTCTAAGAAACATAAGTAATGTTTTAAAGAATTAGTACCTGATAAATACTGAAAAAAAAATGAGGAGTGCACAGACACACAAGACACGCACATCATGAAGCAGAAATTTCCTTTTGGTCACAATCTTGAGTACTTGGTGACAGACATTTTATCATGTACAAAGGACAGACTTTTTGTAGGACTTAGGAATGATCAGATTTGGATGACTATCTAGTTTACAAGAAAGAAAGGCTGAAAGTTGACACAATTAAGAAGAAAGCAACAATAGAAAGTCTAAAAAAAATGGTGACACCAGATAGAACTGATATCTGATTTTTTTGTTGTTGTTGTTTTGTTTTTCGAGACAGGGTTTCTCTGTAGCTTTGGTGCCCATCCAGGAACTAGCTCTTGTAGACCAGGCTGGCCTCGAACTCCCAGAGATCCACCTGCCTCTGCCTCCCGAGTGCTGGGATTAAAGGTGTGTGTCACCACCGCCCGGCGATATCTGATTTTTTACAGTAATGTTCTAAGTTCTGTAATGATACCTCCACACTTACTTTCAAAAAAAATTTAGTGTCTTGCTTAAATAAGCTAAATGGCAGATATAATAACATTAGTAGATTTTGAATTCATATTTTTCTTTTTTTATTTCATGAGCATTTCTACTACTTTGAACAATTCAAGGCTGCCCTTGACTTTGGCATAGTTACCTTGTTGGGTATCATATTCCTTCAACAGAAGGAAATTTGTTTTATAAAAATCTGATTTCTTTCAAACAGAAACTTTGAATTTGGAGGTATTTGTTAAATCCAAATTAAATTTTGTCCATAGAACATATAATCACTTGCCTTTTATAAACTATTTTTATCATATATATATATATATAAATGTATATATACATATATATGTATATACACACATATCTTACAGGTATGTTTGAGGAAAGCTGAGTAATAGATTTATGTAGGCCTAGTTTATATTTTTGATTACATAAGACTAGATGGTTTCTTGTAAAAAAAAAAGATTATTATAGATCTTTTCTGCCAGTCCTTTCATGAGGTTTAGCTATGTTCTATGGCTTTTGAGCAACATCAACTAGGGCACAATCATGTACTTAGATAATTGGGAGCTAAAATCACTGACTATCCATCTTTGGATTTTTTCCTTTCTGTTTTTTATTCCACAGCATCTTAAATACGGAGAAATATGAATTACACACCATTTTTAATACTTTTCTTTCAGGCTTACTCAATTCTAGATATGGCCGTGGATGGACTGATCACAGAAGATTGGCTGTTAACAGTTTTCACTATTTTGGATGTGGTCAAAAATCTTTCGAATCTAAAATCTTAGAAGAAACTCAGTTTTTAATTGATGCTATTAAAACATACAAAGGCAAACCTCTTGACCTCAAGCAACTACTAACAAACGCTGTTTCAAACATCACCAATCTGATCCTTTTTGGAGAACGGTTCACTTATGAAGACACTGATTTTCAGCACATGATCGAGTTATTTAGTGAGAACGTGGAACTAGCTGCCAGTGCTCCGGTCTTCCTGTATAATGCGTTTCCATGGATTGGCATCTTACCTTTTGGAAAGCACCAAAAGCTATTCAGAAATGCAGATGTGGTTTACGATTTCCTTGTAGGACTTATTGAAAAAACTGCAGTCAACAGAAAGCCTCATTTACCTCAGAATTTTGTTGATGCCTATTTAGATGAGATGGATCGAGGTAAAAATGATCCTTTATCTACGTTCTCCAAAGAGAATCTAATTTTTTCAGTGGGTGAACTCATCATTGCTGGAACTGAAACCACAACTAATGTGCTTCGCTGGGCAATTCTTTTTATGGCCCTTTATCCTAATATTCAAGGTAAGGATAACCTTGACCTCACAGTCTCTCCTTACATATAGGACTCCCGTGCTTTAGAGTGTTTGGCCATGCTTAAAGCAGTTTTTACTAACTCCGACTATGGTAGCCAAGAAGGAAAATATCTCATAATTATGGTTTTCAAATCTAGTATTTCAATACAAATTTAAGAAAGGAAGAAAAGCATCTGAAGGTTAGGTATGGTGGTAATATTCCTCTAATCTCAGAACTCAGGAGGCTGAGGCAGGAGAATCTCAAGTTCAAGGCTACCACAGCCTACATAGTAAGTTTAAAACCAACCTGAGATATATAGAATAACATTGTGTTTAAAAAAAAACTTTAAAATAGACCTTAATATGTATGTTTTATAAAGGATGACGAAAGTTAAGAGTCTGGAAGCTACAAAATTGGTGTCTGAACTCTGCTTTTTCTTATTTAGGTCTAATATTTCATTATTTTCCTTGCTACTCTGATACTACTCTGATTCTAGGCTAATTACAAATTTATTCATAATCCTTTTCTTGACCTTACCCAGAGTGTTGGTTATAACTAATGAAACATATAGGGGGAATATAGTTAATTCATTTAACTACCAGATGATGAAAAATTCAAATCTAGATATACCCATATTCTGTTGATTTGTTATGGGTTATCTTTGTTGTACCCCCCCCAAAATAAGTTTATATAATTTTAAGAATTCCATAATAACTTTAATATGTTTCTCTGACAGGACAAGTTCATAAAGAGATTGATTTAATTATGGGCTACAATAGGAGGCCTTCTTGGGAAGACAAGTGCAAAATGCCTTATACTGAAGCAGTTTTACATGAAGTTTTAAGGTTCTGTAATATAGTTCCACTGGGGATTTTCCATGCAACCTCTGAAGATGCAGTTGTACGTGGTTATTCCATTCCTAAAGACACAACAGTCATTACAAATCTTTATTCTGTTCACTTTGATGAAAAGTACTGGAAAGACCCAGATATATTCTATCCCGAGCGATTTCTGGACAGCAGTGGATATTTTACTAGAAGGGAAGCTTTCATTCCTTTTTCTCTAGGTAAGAAAACATTCACATTTATATAATTTTAGAGTATAACAATGACTCATTATTCATAACATCTCAATCTGAAACAACCTGCTCCAGAGTGCTTAATTCTGAATACTTAAAATTAACTTTTTAGTATTTTTTCTTTTTACTGAAAATAGATTTTTTTCTCACATAGTATATTCTGATTACTGTTTTGTCTCCCTCTACTCCTCCCTGTTCCTCTCCACCTTCCCTCCCGTCTGGATCCATTCCCTTTCTTGTCTCTCATTAGAAAACAAACAGGCTTCTATGGGACAGTAATAAAATATAACAAAGTAAAATATAATAAGACAAAAACTAGCATAAAAACAACAATGGAGTTGGAACAGAACTTGAGAGAAGGCACAAGAATAAGAGACCCACTCATCCACACACTCAGGAATCCATTAAAAAACTAAACTGTATATATGCATGCAGAGGACCTGGTACAGATGTGTGCAGGCCCTGTGAATATCCTGCTTCTGAGTTGATATGAACTTCAATCATAACGGATTTAGAGGGCCTTGTTTTCTTGGTGTCCTCCCCTTACATATAACATTGCTTCTTACAGGAGAGGATGGTTTCATTAAAATGATCAACACCTGCTTCTACTAAAAATATCTCTTAGTTAATTAAATAAAGCTAAAGTTGAAAAGCTATGGCTGGCTATTTCAGAAACTTTTTAGCTTATGAATGTGGGGGTTGTTGTCAGACTTCTACAGCAAAAATTCAGTAATAAGTATGAGAAAATGAAACCCATATAAAGGAAAGGAACAAAGGCAACTCCAAGAAAAGCTAGAATCTTGCCTTCTAGTGTATCATGTCATCTCCAACTAGGAAATTCTGCTCCTGCTATGAAATATAGCATGAATCACACAGCTTGGAAGATGGGCTACATCTTCATCACTAAGGAAAGTACTCCTTGCCGGTTGTGGTGACACATGCCGGCAGGATTTACTGAAGGAAAGTACTCACTAGGTCAGTTGAAATGGGTTTCCCTTTGATGTCACATCCCAAAGCATGTGATATTATAGTAGATCATAAGCTCTATTGCATTGCGTAGAACTCAGAGATGAGAATAAAATCTTAAGAAGTCCATGATCTGATATATGGAAATAAAGGTATGTGTTTCTTCGATGAAGTGCTAGTTTCTAATCTTTGAGATTTGAGAGACTCTTCTCATAATATGATGTCTTCAACCTACTTTAAATTACTGATTTTCTGAATGACAGCCAAATATTAGATGTTAATTTTAGTAAATGGTCTTTAAACTTATTTCCTTTTCTGTTCAGGAAGAAGACATTGTCTTGGAGAACAGCTGGCTCGGATGGAAATGTTCTTGTTTTTTACAGCGTTACTTCAGCAATTTCATTTGCATTTTCCACATGAGCTAGTTCCAAACCTGAAACCCAGGTTGGGCATGACATTACAACCCCAGTCCTACCTCATCTGTGCAGAAAAACGCTGAAAGTGCACAACTGTATATTGTGTGATGTTTTACTCTTTTGGCTTTTTGAGGGGCCCACCACCCAGCTCCAAATAAATCACACACAGAGGCTTATTCTGAGTTATGAATGCCAGGCCTTAGCTTGGCTTAGTTCTTGCCAACTTTTCTTATCTTAAATTAACCCATCTACCTTTTCCCTCTGGGATTTTATCTTTCTTACTTCTGTATCTTACTTTCACTCTGACTCCTGGCTCTGTGACTGGGTGGCTGGCCCCTGACATCCTCCTCCTTCCTCTCTTCTCCTTTGATTTATACTCTCTGCTTGCTAGCCCTGCCTGTCCTTATTCCTGCCTTGATATTGGCTGTTCCGCTCATTAGACAGATTATCAGGTGCTTTAGACAGGCAAAGGATCACAGCTTCACAGTTAAACAAATGCAGCATAATCACACCTTAAAATAATATTTCCCAACAACTGTATTAGGGTTTAATCAATAATAGTATTTGGGCCAAAGCCACAGTTTTATAAAGCCAAGTGAATATATATGCATTGTTTAAAATAGTACTAGAGCAATAACAAGCATTAACTATGTTATTTTTTTCTATTGTAGGATGTATTGAACAACACAAAGGTGCAGCTGTTATGTACATATTAAAAGGGGCCATGTATGCACTAAAAAAGAGTTCTTGTTTATTGTAAAGTTCCTTTGATCTGGCTCCATCCTGGGGAACTTTGCTTTTTGCTCCCAAACTGACTCCTTTATGATCAAGTGTTGGGATTAGCAGACTGTGGTATCAGTCCAGGACTAAAGAAATAAAACCCACATAAATGAATTTTGACAACAGAAGTATTCTAGATAATGATGGTAGGCAATGGAAGAGCTTTATATTTAATAAAGACCCTCTCCTTGCTTTCAGATATTCCTCTCTACTATGTATTCATAAGAATTGTGGCATTCTTTCTATAAATAAGAGTTTCTGTGATCCCTGAGCATCCATCCTTAAAGCAGCAGTTCAGTATGTGGAAATAAAGTATGCAGTTGGCTATTTATTCTTTCTTTGTAGGTACAGTCATTACACTGTTTCTGGCACTACTTATTTCTAAAACTAGTCACAGAACTAAAAGATTCAAACATCTTACCTTACTGAGGTCTTAGTTCCAGTCAGGCAGGTTTTCCCAATAATATTCAAATCAAAAGTCTGTTATAGAGACAGGGTAACTTGAGAATGATGAAATGTTATTACTAATTATACCAGGACAAATGGCATATTATCACAGGCCAAAACAAACTGGAATGTATATTCATTCACTAATAGCTATTTTTTCATTATTGTTTCTTCCAAAGTTCTTCAAAGAGCCCATGTTCATGTAACTTGTTTTGTGAAGAGTTGTAGTCTTAGAGTAAATAAATATAACAATGGTTTGCATGATGAGTTTGAATCAAGAGCTCCAGAAAAGGCTCAGCAGTTAAGAGAACATACTGCTCTTGAAGAAGACTTGAATTTAGTTTTCACTGTCCACAACAGATGGCTTACAACTTCCTGTGACTCAAGCTCCAAGAGAATGCAATACTTCTGGCACCCATGGGTATCTACACTCATGGGCATATACATAATTAAAAATAATAATCTTTTTTAAAAATAGAACATGGATTTGCCTCATCTGGTAAAAATCTCCTAGTTTCTGCGGTTCAAATCAGTTTTGTGTTGTAGAATATTAGTTTAAGATGTGTTATTTTGTTTATGCTGTGGAATATTTGTTTACTGATGCAAAGATGTGTTGTATATTTTTTGTTGTATTTGTTTAACTCTGTGTGAAGCTGTATTCACTTTGCCTGTATAAAATACCTGATTGGTCTAATAAAGAGCTTAAAGGCCAGTAGCAAGGCAGGAAAAAGGATAGGTGGGGCTGACAGGCAGAGAGAATAACAGGGTTTCGTTGTAGTTTTAGAGCCTGTCCTGGAAATAGCTCTTGTAAACCAGGCTGGCCTCGAACTCAGAGATCTGCCTGCCTCTGCCTCCTGAGTGCTGGGATTAAAGGCGTGTGCTACCACCGCCTGGCTTGCTTACATTTTTCTTATACCAAATTATTTGTACAATTTAGTCTATGTAGGTATTTATTAGATAATGTTAACTCAACCATCTGAAATTACTGATAAAATACTAAATTTTATAAAATATAAATGAATGCAAATTACTATGGAATCCATAATAGAAAATATCCATTTGGGCAGATATACTAACAGATATATTGGGCCTATGCAGTGACTAATGGTTTCTCACTAGTCATAACCTACTAATTAGGATGTTGAAAACCTAACTTTTGATTCAACTTATAGCAACTGAGCATGGTTATTTCTTTTTACATGCTATCAAAGTAATCCTAATTTCAGAAAGTGTAATGACATTGAAAAGACAGAAGGTGAGTGAACAAACTCTGAACAGGATCATCCATTGACAGCCTAGGTGGATTTGAGAGCATGTGTATGTTCATAGGACAGTCATGGAGAAAATACAGCACATACAAGACGGCTAGGCAAGGAGAGGAAAAGCAAAAAGAAACCAAGCTGTGAAATGCAGAGAATTCTTGATGGTTAAAAGCACTTGATGTTCTTGCAGAGGACCCAAATTCAGTTCTCAGCACCCACATGGCAGCTCACAACCCCCTGTAACTCCAGTTCTGATGCCTCTGGCTTCAGCAGGCACCCATTCTCATGTGCACATAACCACACAGCACATTGGAGGTGGGGTTCGAGAATGAATTAAAAGTAAACCTTTTAAAGAAAACCAAGCTGGCAGATTCCTCAGGCAAATAAATGAACAAAATAAAGTAACAGCCTTACTCTTCTTTTCCTTTTCATTTTGTCCATGTGCAAAATGTGCTCCCAGTGTGTACTATGCTTAGAAGATAGTACTGCTTCCATATGTATATGGTATTGCTGCCCTAGACTAGACATATGTATATGATATTTGTGGCCATTTAATTTAATCTGATCTACAAACTAAAATCCTATTTCATTCACGCTGGAGATCTGTGTATTTCCCTAAGAATGGTAACTGGGGAAACATCAGCAAAAGGACTTGCATTGAGAGTTTAATAAATTTAACTACAGAATCAAGACAAAGTGAGACAAATGGACCAGAATAGCTATGTGTTTTTGTATCATTAGGGGGAAAATACAATTTCAAAAACAATGAGTGATGATGTAACATTGCCTCCTATAGTTGTGCCTAGATTAACCCAGTGCAAAGTGGCTTGAGAATATTGTGAGTTAAAAGGTAAAATACATCTCGCCTACTGAGTGTTACTTTAGCAAAAAAAAAAAAAAGTGTATTTCACAGTATCAGTTGTTTCCTCTGCTAATTGTATGATTGACTGGGACCTGCATCTTGCTACTGCTGCCCAGGATCACAAGAATCATGCCATGGAACACTAGCATGGCATGGGCAGGGCAGGGCAGGGGGGATCAAAACATAAGGTGTCGTAGACAGTATATGTCACTCCACAAAATTAAAAATTTTAAATCATGAAACATCTGTACTTTAACAATGGAGTATTGCTCAAGGGCAGTCCATGCCATTCAAAGCATCTAAGAAGCCCACCTGGTCTCAAAAATCTCCTATGCCCTTGTTCAGATCCCAAGGACCCAAGCTGCTATTACCTCTTCCTTCCCACTGTCCATACCTGCTGCCATGCCTCTGCTCCTGCATGGGTAGAAACCTGCTGCTCAGCTGTAGGCCAGGCCAGTCAGAAAAACACAGAGCCCCTCATTTCCCCAGTGCTGGGCCAAAGGCCAGAAATCCAATACCCAACTCTGAGGGAGACTCTCTGCTTGACCAGAGGTCACACTGGCCACCAGAATACAGAATGCAGACCACAAGGATCAGAAGACCAAAGATGAAACAGAAATCAAAGAATAAACCACACCTCCAACAAAAACAAACACAGAAATTGGTACCTAGACCAATATTTACCCCAAACCCAGACAGATGCCTAGAAACCAGTGTAAGAACACAATAACCAGGGATATATGGCACCATCAGAGCCCAGCTATCTTACTAAATCAACCCCTTAATATTCTAACACAGCTGAAACACAAGAAAATGACCTTGAAACCACACTTATGCTAGAGGTCCCAAAAGAGAAAATTAATAAATCCCCTACAGAAACAGAGAAAAACACAAACATTTCAACATAAATGCCTTAAAGAAAGCCAAGAAAAAAAAACAGGTTAAAGGAAGTGAAGAAAACTTCTCAAGATCTGAAAATGGAAAAAGGAGCAATAAGACACAAACTGAGGGAATTCTGGAGATAGAAAATCTAGGTGAGCAAACAGGAATTACAGAGTCAAGCATCAACAGAGTACAAGAAATGGAAGAAAGAATACCAGGCATAAAAGATATGATAGAAGAAATTGATTTATTGATCGAAAAAAGTTAAATCTAAAAAATTCCTAACCTAAAACATCCAGGAAATCTGTAACACTATGCAAATACCAAGCCTAAGAATAATGGAAATAGAATAAATATCTCAACTTAAAAGCCCAGAAAGTAATTTTATCAAAATCACTGAAGAAAAACTTGCTGATCTTAAAAAGGACATGCCTATAAAGGTACAAGAAGCTTACAGAACACCAAATAGATTGGACCAGAAAAGAAAACCCACCCACTATATGCCTTGCTGCCACATAATAATCAAAACACTATATACACAAAACAAAAATATTAAAAGCAGCAAGGGAAAAATGTCAAGCAACACAAAAGGGAAGACCTATTAGAATTACAACCAACTTCTCAATGGAGACTCTAAAAGCCAGAAGGACCTATACAGATGTCCTGTAGAATCTAAAATGACACAGATACCAGCCCAGACTACTATAACCAGTAATCATCATAGATGGAGAAAACAATATATTCTACGACAAAGTCAAATTTAAACAATATCTATCCACAAATGCAGCCCTACAGAAAATACTAAGAGAAAACAACCCAAGGAGGTTAACTACACCCATGAAAACAAAAGAAATAATCTCACATCAGCAAAACCAAAAGAAGGGAGCACACATACCACTCCCACCCCCAATAACAACAACAAAGTAACAAGAGTTAACAAGCATTGGCCATTAATATTTCTCAGTATCAATAAAC